AGAAAGGTATTAATTAATATAATGCACGGCATAAAATTCATTATTATTTTTTAAGAAATCTTATTTTATGCAAATTCTTTATTGACCCCTTTGTGCTTTAAAAAAAAAAAAGAGGAGTTAAAACCATTTTTCAACACAATAGATTAAGATTAAAAATTTAAAAAGAAATTAACATGCAGAAAATGAGGATCATATTGAAAATTAATTAATTTAAATAGTATTATATATATATATATATATATATGAATTAATCCAACTATAGAGTTAAGTTTATATCATGATAAACTAATTAATTCAGACAAAATCTGAATTTCCAATTTGGGTCGTCATTTTTGGGTTTAAATATTAATGAAGAGTTATCTTGATTAATAAAGATGGGTTGAGGACAAAAAGGCAATTCATGGTGTTACAGCACTGGAACTTGCTGGGATTCCCTGTAAATGCAGCAAAAACTTCTGCACCCACTAAATTAAATTATCTATTTTAATTAATTAAGTTTGTTTTTCTCGGAGTTGAGAGAGAATATATATATATATATATATATATATATATATACACACGTAAATTCCCTAATGTATTTCATTATAGAAAGCTAAATAATCCAGAGATTGCCCAATTGTGGCTAACATATTACTTTTAAGACAAAGACAGAGAACAAATAAATAAATGAATAAAGTAATTAAAGAACGAAGACGTAATTAATCTAATATATCGTAAATAATTAATGAAATTAAAATAATTTTAAAGGCAGTAATTAAATTAATTAAATGGTGATGAAGAAATAAAGTGAAAGTGGGTTTTCTCTAGATTTCCACTCACCTAATTTCAGGTCCTAATTGCACTCATGTGATCTTTGAGGTGGAGGAAAGGTCAAGTGGGGGAAACATGCATGGAAGATGATGGTGGTTCAGCTCGTCGTCAATTCTTTTGTGTAGTGCAACAAGTTGGTGAAAGGAAATGTGCGGCGCGCCTGTCCTTCCTTAACTATTGTCATCTTTTACATAATTTATTTTAAATGGTACTTATAATTTTATATTTACAAAATGGGGCTGATGTCAAGAACATTTGTACTGGTTGTTACCCATATAATTAATTTCGAATAAATTACAAGTATTAAATACAATAAAACACAAGACAATTTTTTTTTACTTTTACAAATTATTACATATTCTACACTCCGTCATTTAATTTTGATATTAAATTTAAAAGTAAGGAAAAAAAAAAACTACAATAATATTTCTTATTCAACAATAAAATTATTTGTTTTATTAATAAAAATTACTTTAAACTTAATATTTTCTTAAAACTACTTACCATATTACTACAACATATCAAAAATCAAAAATAAAAAACACAAAGTCCTTTGGCATTTATCAATAGCCATACATACCTTTAACAACGATACGATAATGTAAAAATAGTTGTCTACCATTTGTTATGGGTAATCACAAGCTGGAAGCCTGTAACAAATGGACGATATCTCCTATGATTAATAACCTTTTTTTCTAAAATAAAATATTAATTTATCATTTTTAAATTAATTTTTTTGACCACCTACCCACCAAGAACTTTTTACCTGTTTCTGCTTCCTATATCCTAGCCAATCACCCATTTTACCCTTTTAAGTAGATTTCAGTTAAAAATTTTGGATCAAGCATAAACTTCGATGTCATTTTTTAACTAGACTTATATAATGCATGTCTTTTTCCAGGCCGTGCTGTGAAACAACTTGGAAAGAAACAGATGAGACAAAGGAAGGTTCCGATACAAAGACATTGCTAATAAAAATGGTGGACCTACATAAAGGTTTTCATCACTATTTAGTATTTACTAAACAAGCAACTTACTTTGTCAAGTGTGGAGAATCTACAATACCTTCGAGAAATCTACTGTTTTTGCTGTCACTTTCTAATCGTTCGTGGTAGTAATTCAGTAGTTTTCATCAGATATCAAGTAAATAATCACTAGATAAAGTTACTGCTACTGTGAAATGTGAGACAATTAATTGGAGACATAATGTCTCTGGGACATATAGAATAATAACACATCAAGTGGTGGGGTGATTCCCAGTTGGTTATGGCCTCACACAACAAGCACCAAACAATGCACATCTCAAGAAATAAACAGCAAACCCAATGGCAGTATCAATTAGTTTTGGACTTGGGATGGAGCTTCAGAATCCGTACAATTTACCGATAGAGAGGCGTTACTCACGCTCCATCAATATTTGCATTCCTTTAATCTTTTTTCACAACTCATCTTATAAGTGGCAGTGGAAGTGCCAATAATATCATTATTATCAACATGTTATGAACGATTTCAAGAATAAGTGAAAAAGAAAGACTGATAATTCTAGAAAATGCAGGAAGTTTTCGTTAATTGACAAAGGGAATAAAACATTACCTGCAATCAAATGTGACAATTGCGAGACTGATAACCTATCAAACCCCTTTTTGGTGTACACATCATTTCTGTCCTATCTGTTCGGAATCCCAAGGGTCACCACTACGTATCATCGCATATAAAACATGAAGAGCGCAATAGAAAAAAGATGGTTAGTGTGAGCAAGAAAAAAGTGGCCATGAAAATTCAAGTATTGTGGTGGGGCATTTAGAATTATTTAAGCAGATAAAAAAGAAAAAGGAAAAGATGACAATATGACGTACTTATAATTCCATACAACCAGTACGTACCTTATTTTTAAGCTGGAGAAACATTCCTTAGGAGACTTTTAAAATAGTGGATCACACATGACAAAGAGAGTCTCCAATTGATATAAAGAAATAATGGAAATGTGATCTAATAGAGAAAAAACCTAAAACTCTACTTTTCTTGGCAGAAAAATTAGAAAACTGTGACAAAGGAAATAAAAAAGCAAATCCATGAGTGGAAAACAAGTCAATATTATTCAGCAGACTCCAAAAAGTAAATAAGCAAACAAGATCCCACTATCCCAGCTTCCATGCCAGTTAGCCCGAGTAGCAACTTACCAATCCGCTCCTTTGTTTTGTCCTAACTAATGAATATCGATTCAATCTTAAAAACGAGTTTTACTTACTACTCCAATCTTATTCATTCCTGAACGAGAGCAACAAAGTTACTGCAGCTTATCTCAAAAAATTAAGAAAAAACAAACTTCTGCTGCTTTGCTTCTTGAAATACATTTCAGGACTGTTAATGGTGTCTACTCATACTTTTTTCTTCAATAAAAATGAGAGAGACAGCTGCAGGTTGACACTCTTCATACTTGACTATAGAAATTCTCACCTGTTGGGATAAGTTCGATTTGAGTCATATTTACTGCAAAAGAAGAATTTGTCAGTCTCAGAATCTAACTACGTCAAATGTATCCATAAGTAAATGGATCGATTATCATATCCCCTGTATCATTACCAATATGCCAACAAACAACCAGATAAAAACTCATGGTCTTAGAACGAATAATCACAAGAAATACCCAAACTCTTAACAGATGTCAAGATCAAAGATGTTTCTTTCTTTCTTTGTCGGTGCCAATATGCAACCAAGTAGCCGCATGCATATAAAATTGGCCTTTGAAAAAGGTGCTATATAATGTGCCTAAGGACCCATCTGAGTGCAAGCTCCCACTATATTAATCCAGCAACAGTAGACAAAAGAAATACATCCAAGACTAGCTCTGTTTAGCAGTCAGCAGAATCATTACTTTGGGACAAATGCCGAAGTGCAGGAGAGAGTACAATTCGGGAACCTTATTTTCCCTCAATCCTAAATTCTAATAAAGGTTATTGCCTCACTCTAAGTGATGCCTAATATCTTAAACTGTAGCAAAATTTGGTATCTAGGGATAGAAAGTAGATTGACACAGAGTAGGGACAGAAAGCAACTGTCTTAAACCAAGTAATAATTACTTGAATACTCAACTCGTCCCATTTCGTTTCAAGTAATCTGAGTGTAAATAACAGTAATTAAATTTTTCACCAAGTCACCTTAGCATTTTCCTCCAAATAATGAGAACACAGCTAATTAGAAAACCTGAGCTAACCTTAGGTTATGAAGTGAGTACAGCTTGAAATGACCAAACAAATATAGTTCTATGACCTGTTTTTCTGTTTCACCAATCAAATATAATCCTCCTATGCATTATTCTTACACAATTAGCATCACTCTGATTTACAAATCTAAATTTATCTAATCTCCAGATTAATAATCAACTAAAATCACAGTCCAACTACTCTACCCAACAAATATATACTATCCTCTGCCTCTTTGACTTTTAACCACCTTGATTTGAAATGCTCCACTAGAAATGTTCAGGTCAAGCACAAGGAAATTTCCTCAAAAAAGCTATCCTCAAAAGGACAATCACTATTTGTAGTATTTCCCATATTAATCACAACTCTGTAATGGTGAAAACATTTTCCCACTTTCTCTTGTTTGTAACACTAGCATGGAGTGTAGAGAATACACTCATAAAACACAATCTTTTAAGTAAAAGCAAGAAAGAGAGAGGGTTTGAAAATTTTTACATAGTTCAGCAACTTGCCGATCTCCATAAACCTGTGATTTTTTCACTAAAGAAGAACTCATCTCACAACTTGGATTTTAACTTTACATAGTGAATTAAGGAAAATCCAGAATCACAAGAATACTCCATAACAAAAATGCCCAACTGCAAAAATGATTGTGAAAGGATTATCCTTCTCCTTGATGTAGGACAAATGACGGTTTGACTACTACAAAATTTAGAGAAAACCTAGATATCTCACATAGAGTTGTTAAGTACTGTGCTTAAGGTTTGATTGAATCATACAATATTCTCAAAATATGTTATTAATTGAATGATGATCTCAAAGAGAATATAAAAGTATTTACAAAATGCTAAGTCGGTCTTTACCCAAGTAGAATTAGACTAAAAAAATACTAAAATTAATAAGATTAAAAATACTACAAATAAGATAGAAAATATTAATACTAACAAGATTAGAAGTAATACTACTAATACAAATAGAAAAATTAAATACTACTAATAATAAAATACTGAAGTTACTAAAACTTAAACAATGGATTCCCAAATAGTATAATAATTTATAGGTACCTAGAATTAAAATTTATAATCTATTTATGTAATCTAAAGCGAATATATTCTGTATGACCCCTTCCCTGAAGCTTGCTGTGAGCATGGTGTTCTCTCAAATATGAGCCACAATCTCAATAATTGGCACCTGGCATTGAGGAAGCAATTCAAAGGACCAATATCCGACTTACAACTGCATTGATTCCAAAGGCATCAGTAACTATTACATGTTAGGAACTTTTCTTTAATTTTGTGCATTTAGCACTGTGTTTCCACATAGAATCAGCCATTCTTGCACTATTGCACAGATGTTAACTAACTGAGCATAAAACCCCAGTAACCATGTTATTGTGGATGGAATTATCATGAGACGAAGTAATGACTTTATTACTTGATAGAAGATTATATCCGTGTAAATATGGAAACCACTATAAGAGGCAGTATAACAAAGACAAAATGATCAGACGTACAGTGCACTCTTACCTCATGCAAGGTAAGAGGGACGGCTTTCAGGATCATAGATTCCGGCTATTAAAGCTATCAAAACCCACAACATAAGCAAACTTATTACAGCCGTCCTTAAAATCTGGTCACAGTTACCATTCACGTCAACATCATCTTGAAAAACAAGATGAGGAGTTGAAATATCCTCACTATCATTCACTGCTATGTTTGCTACGTAGTTACTTGCATGTGACCGTCCTATCCAATTGGCACCGTTTGCAAGCGACTGAATGTTTCGGTTGCTCATATTTGAACATATTGTACATGTACAATGACCACCTAGATATGATGGAAGGGTTTGAAGATGCTCAAAGAGAACCTTGCAGAACATTTCACCTTCAATTTTTAACTTCCTCCGAGTGACAGGCTTCAGAACCTGAGAAAAGACAATCCATGCAATTTCATGTAAGAATGACTATGACAAACATTTTAGAAACCAAGGTTTTAAATGGTAACCGAATCACTATCTTACTTGAATAAAAGTCTGAGCAATGACTCGAACAACAGCAGGAAGGCGTATCACAAATAAACAGCCAAGATGGTTAGGAAAGTGATCTTGGAGAAGGGAAGAACAAGACCTCATCATATGCATGGGAATTCTTAATGGAGATAGTCCTTCACAATCTACCAAAACTGTAATTTCACGATTTTCTGGATCAACTAAATGTAGGACTCCGTGTTCCACCTGAGATACTGAAGTCACAACCCTGTTAATATTAACTGAACTAAACACATATTGGAAATGAAGAAATTTTCATTTGATTCCAGCAACAACAGAGTATTGAATATAAAACAGTTAACATGCACTCAATAAAAGTAAATATAGTCATCCAAGCACTATACAAGGTAACAACTAATTTTATTCTTAAGTTCACCATAAGAAGAACCCAACAACACTGATGAAAAAACATAATTTTTTTTCTAATGAAGATGCTGTTATATGTTTAGAATGGTTAGATCATTTTTTTATTGCAATCGAACTGGTAGCAAAGACAGATCAGACATAAGACACGTTATAAGCAGAGAGCATTTTGGAGACATTGAGCATATACTTAAGAGAGAGAAAAGGAGAGATAAAAGAAAAATATGAAATCAAGAATGTATATCTCATTAAATCAAGATCTACCAAACGATGCATACTTTCATGCAGCTTCTGACTTTTTTTAAATAGCAAACTGAATTGGCACTGTGGCGAAAGATGATATGACAACATATATATTGATTGTTAAAAGGGAAACTTCCACTGGATACATGCTATTATATTGTTAACACAGTTAAGAACAGCAAGAAAAACAGCACATCAACATTGAAAGTTTTTACATGTTCATTTCTTAGTTAGATAAACTGCTGGTGGGATTCTTACCATCATAAATAACACATATTAACTTGGTTCCAGTTTCTGAATCAGAAAGGAGATGCAATTTAAAACTAAAAAAATTTGTTGCTTAAAAATGTGTTTCGGACAACCATGCTTCATCTTCATTTTAATTGCAATATCTTTGCCAGAAACCTGAAATTTTGGCATTGCAGCAATTGCTCTTGGATCCTCAATGCAACAGGAAACTTATAGAAAATAGGACCCTATCATGCTATATCCATATAAATGCAACATACTGGTCCAAGTAACTAGAAAATATTAACTGTTTAAATGACTGCAGCTATGTGGCAAGAAATTTAAAATGCCACTGTAGAGAAAGAAAATATACCAACTGCTTGAGCAAAGCGAGGTCTCTCATGAGAAGGCAAGTTTAAGCAAGCCTGCCCAAGTCGTACGACAAGACAAGGCCGGTTCTTCACATCAAATCCATGCCAGAAAACCATACTTGACCATTGCTCAAGTTCCACTTCAGAAAGAATTCTGTAAGCGTCCCTCCAACGGATGGTCTTTTTAATAGACGATAACAAACATGAAAAGTCACCATTTGCAGCAGCATAAAATCTACGAAGCTCATCCTCATTGATTCTGCAAAAAAAGAACTATATGCTATAGCCAGCTGTCAGAAAGAGAAGCCAATAAACTGAAAAGAAATATGTCAACATAGGACATTAAATTGGAATAGAAAACTCTTATACAACCAGTTCCACTAAAGATGATAAAATCAACATGTACAAAGTAATGCATTTGAAAAATTTCAAGGAAAACAGCCTATTTCAAAAAATTAATGGAATTGTTGTTCACTCTGGACTGCTAAATTCTCAACTGAATAGAACCCATAAACATGCAGTAAGGATTTACGTGGCCAACAGTCATTAGCTTATTCATTAACAATATCATCATCAAAGGAAAGAAGGTACTGCAGTATTTTTATCCATAAAAACCATAAAATAACCTTTCTGGTAAGCTAATCCCCTGATTTTCGAGCTCTCTGTGGACTCGTATTAACCAATCTTCAGATGCTAGACTTCCAGGAGTTTCATCATCAACCCTGCATCTTAGATGAGACCATTAGAGAAACTACTGAACATAAAACCACTGTGACAAACAAAAGGAAGGAAAAATAAGGAGACAAACACAAGAACACCCTAGAGTGGATCTCAAATAATATTTCATATTATTAAAAGCATTCATTTTATTTTAATTGGTTATCATTATGACAGTAAGTATAAGGTTGCTAAAAACAAAATTTTCCCTACGATGTCATTGGCAATACAGGAAATGACTTGATAAGTAATTCATTTAATTGCTTGATATGTGCTAACAAAAAATTATTGGAGAGAAAAAGCTGCAAGCTAACAAGGTGCATTATTCAAATAATTTTAACACAACATGAATAAGGAATCAATAGATTAACTAGCCTGTAGCTTAAACTGTGGCAACTTGAATCGGATAGAGTCATATCCACCTTGAAGTCCCAGAAAGTAAACACAAACACAGCTAAATACTTACTAATCAATATTCTTATGGTTAGCACATAAGGAAAAAAAAAAAGTTAGACTTGTTAAGAGTCCAGTGAATTCTCATTTCTTAGCTGAACAGTTCCTTATTATCAAAATGCACCAGCGCTTTAAATTAAAACATACAGCAAAGTGAGTACAGCAAAGATGCTAGTCCAATCAAAGAGAAAGCTGAGACTTCTGCAAAAACTTATAATCAGATGAACCTATTAACTAGAAGTGCATAGCTTATATGTGACGCCTGAATTGCAATAACCAGTCAAAACCTTACAGCAGAAATTGGTTTCAAATAATAACAACTGGATAAATAGACCTAGTCCCTTGCAGCTTAGTTACTCTCATAGTGAATCATAATCCCTGTAACACCACTTAATCAAGAAAACAGTCAAAACCTTACAGCTTAGTTATTTAGTTATCATGTCACCTGCCTAACTGGAACCATAAATTTCATAAAGTCATCTACCTTCCATCCAAGGGATACTGCAACGATGATATCTCAGAATGTAATTCTGAATATTCATGGGAAACACTGACACTATCCGAGTTTTCACTCCTGCTGTCTGAATGTTCGGTAACAGCAGTTGTAACTGAAAGCACTAATAATGGCCTTGACAGCATCTGGAAGTGTAAAATTAACTGTTATAAGTTGTTTAGAATGACAAACGATTAATAATTATAACAGGAAGAATCTAAATATATCCACAACAAGCATATTATGCATTTTCTGATTAGATAACCAAAAGAACAGAACTGTGCAGACCATATGCCCTTGCCCTGTTTAGCCACAATAACAGATTTGAAAGAAAAAGCATCTGCGACTTTTTATGATCTGCTACAAGTTGTAAGAATGAAACAGGAAAAAATTTTGATCTCAGAATGGGATGAAATTCATGATGGTAATTAGATACATGCACCATATGTGGACACAAAGGCAAATGTGTTTTTGCATGGCTCCTATTAAAGCCATAAGTTCATAAGGTTGAGAAACAACGAAAGACTTGAGTATTGAAGAGTTGAATTTGAAGGTCCATGCGCTTTTAGCATACTCTCACAACTTCGAAAAGGTTAAATTATATATAAAAGTTGAGATGTCTACTAAAGAAATCTTCATGGAAAGTGTTTTTTATGCTGTGTCTTGCATTAGATAGAAAACAAAGCTAACGAATAAAAATGCAGCTCCCCTGAGTGCAAGTATGAACAAACCTGCATCCCTGTAACTAGTCCTCTTAAGGGAGCCCATCTCTGAATCCACTTAAGAGGTGGATAGCATAGAACTTGCAAAGCTTGAAGTCCGCGCCAAATATATGGACACTTGGCCCTTGAAACTCTTCGTACTGCCTCTAAGGCTGCAAGTTTAATTAAGAAAATTGCTATATGACCAGCTGCACCGCCACCATTTCTACTGCTTAATGAAGCTATGTTCTTATAAGTACTCCGTGGAAGAGCTTTAGGGCCAGATGCAACTGGATCTTTTTTAGAAACTGTTTTCCCAGCAACTAAGCCAATTGCTTTAGAATTTCTACTAATAACAGAACCCTGAAGTGAGTCTCCCATTGAAGTGAAATTGAATACTTGATGCCGGAAGTGGACTCTTTGTTAATTAGTACTCCATTACATTTGAAACGGCAATACAGATTTGTTCGTATAAACCACTACTATGGCTAGAACCATCATGAAGGGAGGACAAAAACATGATCAGACAAGATCTATAAGAACCAGAGAATGCAATTGTAATTCCGACACTGTTCCAGCCAAACTGGATAAATATTGAATAGACACCAATCTGTAAAACCAGATGCACAAATGTAAGAATTCATGAAGAGATCTGAAAGTGAAAAAGCCCCAAATTAGAAAGTCGGTGGGCAGTAGTTTACAGCATTTGAACTATTACATGAACTATTACCAACATCCGTACATTAAAGATGCATTAAAAAAATATTGACATCCATCGCCCATAAAACATAGGAACAGGCCAATTTGTACTGAAATCATTCAGAAAAGATACAACTACTATATATATATAAGTTGTGTGTGTGTGTGTTTGTATGAGCTGTTTTTTTACTTTATTATTTTGCTAGTTCTCAAATTGATCACGCACGCAATGCCAGTATAGATGGAAACCGACATGTATGATAGAAATGTATGAGAGCTTCTGCTCAATAAGTAGATACATGCATAAACACGTCTTGGGTGTACATGAGATATGAAATTCTAATCAACATTCAATATGAGAATGAAGTTGAAAATCTAGATTAAGTTTCCATTTAGCACAAAAGTTACTGCTGTTCTCTATCAAAGCTCTAATTTTCACCAGAACTCAGCAATTCGAAACGTATTCGCATTAATTTTCACCAGAACACTTTAGAAACTATAACACGCTTTTGGCTTTCTATAACCGGAAATGTGATTCTGCGTTACAGTTCAAGCCTAAGGTAACCTTCAAAACCAAATATCAAAACGTTATTAAAAGATATCAAATCAAATAATTCAATATATTACGTATAAAATAAGCCGGATCGATTTGTGAACGCCTAAATCTACACTCCTCTAATAAAAGGATCGTTCATAAATTCATGAATAGGAGTTTCAACTGAACTCGAAGAGTTCAACAGAAAATTTCGAAATCGAGCAATAAGTAAACAAAGAAACTCGAAGAGTTCATAAACAAAGAAAGATAAAATTGACCTAATATCTTCATAAACTCTTCATATTTGGAATTCGGATCCCTACTTCGAGGAAATGAAGATTAAGTCCTACTGAATTGAGCAGATTTGAAACTTAAAGAGAACGCCAATTTGGTTTGATCGTCTGGACGAATTAATTGTTGTGTCCATTACAGGGAAATTGGAAGGAAGCTTTTGAGCTCGGTGATGTTGCCTTCTCTAGATCAGTCCCGCCATCGCCATCATCAAACCAGAGAAAACAAGAGACCATAGAACTCGGAGGCATGGTAAGGGCCAAAGCGGGACCCAACACGTGCGAAAGTTTTGGCAGAGACGGTTCTCGTGATTGACACGTGACAGCTAGAAAGCACCGAGCGATTCAACGGTAAACGAACGGTTCTCCTGAGTGGCAGCGCCACGAACAAAATTATGGTGTTTGACCAGCGACTCAGTGTACATGTAAAGGAAGAATAATTAAGATATTGCTGACAGATTTTCAAGTTCCGGGCGAATTTAGAAATGTAATTTAAAAATTAAGAATAGTCTAAATTTATTATTAGCTAAAAGTAATATGAAATAATTTTTTTTAAATATATCATAATATATAATGGTATTATTGTAAATAAAACTCAAACTTATATCTCAATATTAAATTAAGAATGAAAAAGCTGCAGGATCGAAAATTATTGGTTAATTAGTGCATATTAATCTAAATATTCTTTAAATAAATGGATTTTAATCTTAAATTTATTCTTTAAATAGTCGGAATCGATTCTTCTTATATTTTTTTAAAAAAATATTTTCTTAATGATTAAAAAATTAGGTGAACTTTTTATTAGGGCCAAGTGCAACACTAATATTACTGCAGGGTGACGGAAGTTAAGCTCTTCCCGCTATGCAATAAACACGTGTAATATTTAGCGTCCACGTGTAAAATTAAAACGTCATCCGCCCAAGTACCGGTTGTACACGTGGCATATCCAAAGCAAGTTAAAAACAAAGCAAAACGCAGTAGGAGAAGACGAAGAAGAGAGTAAAATTAACGACGATGGCGTCTGATCAGAAACCAGCATTTGCCTACACGGTGGTGTACGTGAAAGACGTGGCCAAATCTGTTGATTTCTACGCAAAAGCATTCGGATACAATGTTCGTCGCTTAGACGAGTCCCACAGGTACACATGAAATCTAAACCGTTCAAAAATACCAGATCATCTCTTTTTATTTGTTGTGTAATTCTGTAGATTAACGGAGTTAATTTGTAGGTGGGGAGAGCTGGAGAGTGGGCAGACCACCATAGCTTTCACGCCGTTGCACCAACATGAGACCGATGACCTAACCGGTGTCGTTCAAGGTCCTCGGTCAAGTCGCGAGCGGCCACAAATGGAGGTATGCTTTTGTTACACGGACGTCGATGCCGCCTACAAGGTAATCAGTAATTAAAATTTTCGAACACTTCATACGACGTTGTTCATACATGTTTCTGTTTATTAATGTTTATACGACGTCGTTCTTTCGGATATTATACTAATTTTTAGTTAGTTAATTATTGTTATAATTGGAAAACAGAGAGCGGTGGAGAAGGGAGCAGTGCCGGTGAGCGAGCCAGAGAACAAGGAATGGGGACAGAAAGTGGGATACGTGCGTTATATTGATGGCATCGTTGTGCGGATGGGAAGCCATGCCCACCCACCTAAGCATGAGTGAGTCAGCTTGGGCCGAGTCATGATATGTATTGCTATTACATATATAGATACATAGTACGTGAAAATAAAACTTTGGAAGTAAAGAAGAGAACTGTACTACCGTCGATTTGTGAATAAAAATGTTATATTATGTCAGGATGGGAAACAACTTGTGCTTGTTCAAAAGTAATTAATTTGATTTACCAACTAAAATTGCACTAACTTAGAGTTCTTGTTCAAAAGAACTTTAATTTTATATTTCTGTCAAAAAATAACCTTAATATTCTTTTTTGGGTTGCAGTCAAATCATCAAATTATTTAAATATTACTTACAATTTCGATTAATTTTTATTGTAACAACAAAATTAAATAAGTGACTGGCTTTAACAAATTAAACCTATATCTAAACACACATGTAAAAGACAGGGAGGGACCAAAAAATACAGTAAACAAATTTTCAAGAGGCATCCACAAGTAGTAAAAACATAACGTAACCCCAAAGCAAAATCTAATTAAAAAGGACAACTATGCTCTTGACCATATATGGCATGACTATTTCCGCAACAAGAGCTCTTTTTGCCACAAAACAACTAACCAAAACTCTTTTTTTTTTCTTTTTTTTTTTTTTTTGGGTTTTAATACAGCACCTTGTTTCTTCAGTTATTACAATTACTCCACCATCAGAAGCAGACCGAAATAACAGAAGACATTTTTTTCCAGTGTGAAGAACTTCAAATGGCATTCTACAAGGACCCAGCACATCACCAACCTTTTTTTTTTTAGTGAAAAACCAGTTCCCCTCAAACATAATAAATGAAGATATCGTTCTCTAGTGCACACAAGGGAGAGGAGAGAGAGGAGTTGGCGAAAAAAGATTTATAGCATTTCTTGTGACCGTCTCACGCAGCGGCTTACTTTCTTCTTGAATTCGTCTCTCCTGTCTCTCCATTCTTTCTGCAATATAGAGACACTCTGTTTTGTTATATGACCAATTGGCTAATTCAGCGTAAAAAGGGTAGTAATGGATGCAATATTCATTTCACATTTTTATTAATAATTTGAGAAAATAAAAAATATCTCTATAAATTTATTAATCAACTAATATTTCTGTCAAGTTTATTATCAACAAAAATTGATACCATGTCAGAATAAACCCTTTGCACAAAAAAATTTCTCTTTCAACCCAACGCACCAATGAATTTCTATTACTTGCACTGCACTGATACTAACATGACAACTACTGCATGATCATAGATGTAACTCTAGAGTTACAGAAACTTGCAGACCAGTGAGTGATTTTAGATGTACTTTTGTTTTTTATTATCGAATTTACAGAGAATTTTCTTACCAAAAAGATAATGAATACGATAAGATTCCAAATCAATAACATTAACAGAGGGTGGAAAGGGAAAGACAAGGCCGTGAAAAGATTTTGAGACGTTCCTCAAAGATTTATTTTTTAGAAAGAAAAGTCGCACTTTTACCCATTCTCAACTTATTGTTTTGGCTTTTTACTAGCTTGAGGTTAGCCTATTTGGCATGAACCTTTGCAACACGACAGATACCATACAATGCAAGCCGGTCAGAGCCAAATATCAGGCTTATCCCCCATGATTAGTTCTCACTAAAAACTGAAGCTATAACAGTGCATCAAATTGTCACCCATTCCAATAATTTCACCACTAATTCACTGTTATGGAGACATTAAGTTTGATTTA